TGGATTACTTGGCATACAGCATTGTCGTGTAGCTGTTTGATGATATGTATAATTGTCGATGGCACCCCATAGTAGCGAAGTAGTTGCCAAATGACCTCTCGATCGACGCTGTCGAAGGCCTTTTCAAAGTCGGTGAAGTTGAGACAGAGAGGTGACTGCCATTCCAAGCTTTGTTCAGTGATAATCCCTTAGTGTGGCAATTTCATCAAAATATAAATTGTTCCTCCTGAATCCAGGCTGTTTCGGTCAAATTTTATCATCCAGTTGGCGTGTTTGATTCTCTCTCCAGGATGGTGTGGCTTAGTGTTTCGTTTGGGATGGACAGGAGTATAATTCCGCGCCAGTTCTTCCATTGACTAAAGTCTCCTTACTTTGGCAGTTTGAATAAATATCTTTTTTACCAATCCCCGGGTACCTTGCCCTCTGTCCACACTTTCTCCAGTAGCAGTGTCACCAAGTATGCTAATTATTAAATCAATTAATTTATTTTAAAATTAGCGTACTTCATTCGTCCATTCACTCCTCCTTTGACCTGTTAAAATTATTACTAATGAATAAAAAGACTAGAGTTAGACTAGAAGGATAGAAAGGCATTTTTTAACAGGCAGGCACAGTGGTATGTAGTTTTAAATACCTTAGATGTAAATTGTTACCACAGTGCCAAGATTACACAGTTTATATTGTAGACATCTCATATAATATATATATATATATATATATATATATATATATATATGTATAAAAGACACTGCATGTACTCTTGATCAGATGACCTTGTGATTTTGGTATTTGTTTTCGTGTGTGTGTGTGTGTGCGTGATTGCGTGAGTGTTTTAAAACCTAAAGCAAGACTTTTTAAGTTTTAGTAAAGATAATCACTTATTGAAGCATTGAATAACTGTTTACAACAACGATAGAAACTAACGGATTCAAAGGTATATTATTATTTCTATAAAATAATACTTTATTCTCTTTTATATGATCGATCCCGACAAAGACTGAAATATCTTTTTTATGAATAAATTCATACCACTACAGACAGCCTATATTGTCGATGAGTGTCTTTTCTTACTCGCCTGACGTTCTAGTACGCAGTTATGACTGGTGTGAGGAAAATGTCTGCCAGTTGTTCTGTATCGTGAGTTGGCTATTTCTTTCTGTCCTGATGATTGCTAGGTATTCGAGTTCATCATGTAATTCAAAGGTCCTCGATTCCATCTATGGTTGAGTCAGAGATGCGTAGTGTTGTATAATTTTTAATTAGGACGGAAGAGTTTGTCGCAGAGGGGACTGAGGGGTAAAAGCATTGGGCGAGGTTGTTTTTCTTAAATATTTTTGACAAACGTTAACAAGAAGTTTATATAACGTCGAAGGAACTGATGCCCTTCTCCCCTGTGCGTTATCATTTCATGTTATGTTGGAGGTTCAATATTTGGAGTTTTAGTAGCCACAGTGGTTATCTTAGGCGAGTGGGATTGTTAGTCACAAGCCTAGCTTTTCCTCTTTTCTAAGCTTACTAGCGGTTAGTAAAGTCGGCGAGGTTTGCGGGGTGATTCAGTGTGAAACGAACTTCGAACTTGTGCATGTTCGGTGAGCAAACAACCACTGAATCACCGATTTAGTAAAAGACGTCACCATCAGGCTATTTGGGCTCACGATACACTTTCTGTAGAACTGTAATGGCTACATTGACTTGCTAATTTCAGAAAAAACTGGACTCAATAATTTCATATTAGTTGAAATTTTAGCTATGGAAATGATTACCTACCATTTTTGTTTGTTAATTTAATCAAACTTAGTTCACTGTCTTATGTTAGTTTATATTTCTCGTCGATTTATTATCCTGGACTGATTAACTCGGTCTCTTTTGAAATGTCAGCCTCCAGTATGGACGCTTCAAGAAGCGTTCAGAAGATTCACATGATTTCAGTTGGTTGTTGATGACTAGCAGTGGATTCTAGGATGTACATTCCAGCTTATTTTGAAATGATACCTGATACGGAAGATGCGACTCTCATGGCCTAATGGTCTACTGGATAACGCTTTAACGTTTGGAGTATCGAGTACTAGGCTCCAGTCTCATTGGACACACTCACTATTCCACTACTAGTCGACATCAGTCACATAAGATTAGTTCAGTGTCATTTGTGATCGGATCAGTTTTATTCGAATTATTTCCCAGCCCAGACACCGGTTAAAAAGAGCTCTCGGTAGGGAGGTTTTTATTAGTTTTGATGCCCAAAATCAGTAGCTAGTACAATATTGTTCTGCAACGAGGGTAAGGATGAGTAGGCTGATTCTTCCAACTGTAATGATCTTGCAAAATGGTGCAATCCTATTTAGAAGCCTTATTTACTGACATTAATGATCACGATGTCTCGGCTGAACTGTGAATAATTCATGAACACTAGAATTCGATTCACGTGAGGAATGGTTTGTGAAACGGTATTTTCTAGGAATTCATATCAGGGTTATAAAATCAGTCGTAGAGAAACAGCGCTGAATTGGTGTTTGTTCCCTAGCCATTGTTTGTTATTTTGAAAATTACTCTACATCAGACTTGATTCTAAGGGAATATTCTTATTTCTTCCGAATTATTCGTTTTTTTAAGCGTAATTTACTCAAAAACGGCACATATCATACAATGAATATCGCACGTCTGGTCCTCGCTGTTAAGTTTAGCTTCATTCTACCAGTCACGCATCTCACCCATTAACTCTTAAGACAGGCTTACTGAGTTGTCTAACAACCCGACCATTAGCACTAAGTAGGACAAGAAAAGACCTAAATGATGAAATAAAACAGATAGAAGAGGCGTTGGTGTTAAATAACTATCCATTTAAAGTTCATTAGGAAGATTGAAAAAGGCGGAAAGAGAAAAGAAAAATAATTATGAAACTAGTAATAATAACATAAATAAGAGAGAATATAAGTCATCTACAGTTATACCATATAAAGAGGGGACATCTGAGCTCAGCAATTGCAATGCATGAATTAACACACAACCACACAATAGGGTGGGAGAGGGTTAAAATTATAAAAAGTAATCTAGGTAGGTGGAGAAAGAGGTTGATTACTGAATCCTTGTTCATCGAGTCTACACCCAACATATGCAATAGGAATGACTGATTACTGATACCGGAAATATGGAAAATACTACTATCAATCAAATCAAGCAATGGAAAATAATGGAATTATATAAACGAAGTTAGAAAGTTGTGGGAGTAATGTCGTGATATGATGAGTGGCAATAAATTGTGCTCGAAACGTAGTCATCAATACAATTTTACTGTATAACACTGTGAGACTTTATTAAAATAAATTTTACTCATAGTGTTTTCAACAAACTAGGGGACTCTCCAATGTGGTTAAATAGTTGAAAGAAGTTGGTAGAAAGCACTGAGTCAAGGTTTAACACATGTTGACGGTAGTCTTCAGCAAGGCGCACCTGTAACTTCAAATCAATGACAACCGCTTAGCTATTTCGACTCGTGATTATGCCTTTCTTTACTTAAGCACTGACTTTGACAGCTTTCAAGCCGCATCTATTTTCATATTTTTACATCGTTAGTTGAACAAGACATATAAGCGAACAATATTGCTGTTTTCAATGAGATCTTCTTCTAGCTTTACCCTAATTTACATAGATTTATATACAAAAATTCTAACCAGTGATTTTATGAATCAAGTAATGATAATAATCATAGTAATAATGCGGTGAATGTTTTGAATTTATTTAATAACGATGATTATATAGATAACAAAATAGTGATAATAAGGTTTATGCAGGTGGCGATAAGAATAACGAAGGTAGTATATGTGTGTATATGTAGACAATTCAATAAATAAATTCGGTCAAATCCTAAAAGTTACGTAATACTAAAGATGAAGTAGACAGATAATCAGGTTTAAATAAATATCATAAAAGTACGAAGGAGATGGATGATAAGAAAGGGTGGGAGGGTTTTGAATAGAATTTACCTAGGCCTAGGGAAAGTCAAAGGTACAAGAAACTTCTTTTATATGCAAAGACTAGGATTGTTCTCTCGAATTCCCTTAACTTCGGCTGTGTGTGAAAGACACGTTCGAATTCCGTTCGAAAGGCTGGATGAAATACGATAGATAACTTTGAAGGCACTATTTTTATCCACTTGCTGACCACTATCAATCCAATGAGCCAAAACAGAACTTCTTATAGATTTTATTTGTGCTTTTCCGAACCATTAAGGAAGACGATCATTAATGCGTTTGTTAAGAGTCTAGTTGTTCGCCCTATATAGCTCTCTTCACAGGAGCAGCTTTATTAACAGATACACATAGAGTGGCACAGCTTGGTAGCTTGTCTTTCTCTTGAGCAATCATAATTGGTCAGCTGGAAAAATGACAAACAAAGGATGGCGGCAGTATAAGTCTGTTTTATCGCTTCGATAATCTCAGATGTGACACTTCGCTAGCCAAGTCCCCATTAAAATGCAATTTAATGAACACTTGTTTCTTTTCAACTGTTGTCAGTTTCCCTTTATTGTACCTGGTGTTCATGTGTCTTCTTACAAATCTACTAGGATAGCCCAATCGGACCAGCGTATTTTGGATGTAACGTAACTCATTTTCTAGGGAGTCATCTGTACAGATATGTCTCGCTCTTATTTGTGAGGCATCTGACCAAGTTGATTTTGTATCGGATTGGTAAAAAACTGAGGAAATGTGTATATTATCCTACAGATATAGGTTTTCTGTAGACATCTCTCTTGAGTGAACCATCTTCTCTCCTGCTCAATTGGACGTCAAGGAAATGTAGCCTACCGTCATGTTCTTCTTCACAAGTAAAGATGAGCGATGGATGTGCATCATTAAATTTTATTAACAATTTCATTCTTAAGAAGTGTACATTCATAGTACATCTTAAAAGCAACTCTTTCAGACCAATAACTGAATTCCGATGTCGAACTGTTTTTCTAATATCTGAATTCCACAGTCTCTATAAGTGGTACATTAGTGAACAGTGAAGGGACATCCAAGGATAGCATTTGCTTCCCACTAACATTGATATCATCTATGTTAACAATGAATTCAAAAACGTCTTTAACACTATGATTTACTACCATCTTGTGTAACGGTTGTAGGAGGAGTTCACCTAGCCACTTCGTCACTCCATGGTAGGTGAACTGGGCAAAGAGGAGGTCCTGGTTTACGTACTTTTGGCAGACCATACAATCGTTATTTAACAAGTGAAACAGTTGAAGGAGCTGTCAATTTACATATATACTGTTTCTATAGAGTTGGTTTTATGGTTGATAATTTCCCAAATAATAATTTTTACCATACATATAACCAGTGTTCAACAAACCTCACACCTAATGAAAGCTGAAGACTACTCACAATTTGATCTGTACAATCTTTGTTATCTTTCTTTTACACAGCATAAAAAATAGTAATAAAAAAGTTATAATTACGTTGATTTTCATGATAATGAAAGACATGAGTTTTCTAATACAGTCAGATATCTTTATCCCCCTCTTTTGATCCATGTTTACGAAGATCTTTTATTCGAGAGTCTGCTGACTCTCCTGGATGGATTGTATGCATCTCTATATCTTCGGGTTGATTTGACGATTGCTCCACATTAGTACCAGCTTTTTGAAGGCTGTTCATTTTTGTCTTAACCTTATTTTCATCTGTTAATTGAAACTTTTGTTTAGACGGATTTTTATCTTCCTTACCTGACTGATTATCCTTCTTGTGTATTCCTTCTTTAGGATGAGTTTTAACATCCTTGTCGCCGACGCCAGTGCCACCAATATGATCATCATCATCATCATCACCTGCATTAACTTTCAAATTGTGTTTACCTTGATTCAAAGCATTTTCACTCCGAGACTGTAATAAATCAGTAAAGGCTTCATTAAAATCAAGTTGTTGTCTCGGTCTGGCTAGTGAATATTCACCAAGACGTTCAAGTGAAGCATCATTTAAATGAAATGATGAGATCTTTGGATAATGTGTACCCCTTCCGCCTAAACTATTCGCCATTTGTCCAGCCGATAGAAAAGAATCATCCCTCGGAATATTATCAGAAGGATGTTGACAGAGGTAGTCCTGTGGGTAGTAGTCATTCGGTGGTACAATATACATATTTGTACGATTAATCCATTCTTGTGTCACACCAGTTAACGCATCGACTGCATTACTGCTTGTGTCATGATGAAGTTGTTGATAATGAAGAAACTGCTGTTGCTCGAGGTGTTGTTGTTGTTGTTGATGCAGTTGCAGTTGGTCTTGTTGATCATATGCATAATGATTCAATTTCAAACCCTCAGGGATCTTTTTTAAAATATTTTCAGTATCTCTAGGATGCATTGAGGCGTACAATAATTTCAGAGCAATATGCTCATAAACTTTCAGTATTTTCTCATCATAACGTTCAGGATTCCGTTGCAGTATTCGTCGAATATACTTTTCATCAATACGCATAAAAAACCCACGTACAGCATTACGACCTCTAGATCCAGTCAGCGTTTCAATCCCAGTCAATGTTTGATCGATAATACTTTTATTCAATATAGTGAATAAACTTAATGTTTGTTTGTCACGTTTACGAATTTTTAATAATCTCACCAATGGTTTTGTTGTCATTCCCATAAATCCAACAGTAAACAGAATGATAAACAATGTGGCAGTGACAATCACATTCTTATGATATTCTCCATTGATTGGGAATTTTTTCTCTGAGATGAGTACAGCCAGAGCGAAAGCGACAGCACCACGTAGACCTCCATAGATGAGAACAATTTGTTGCGCCAGGGTAATTTTTGTCTCATCAATATTTACATAATTCACAATAGCTGTAATACTGAATATCACTATTGATCTTGACAATAGGCATAGAATTAATCCCCATAGAATAAAACCTGAATGCCATTCAAGTTTATATGAAACAACTTGTATGCCTAAGAATAAAAAGATAACAGCTTCACTGACTTCTGATAACATTTTTGTAAATAAATGAACACTTTTCACATGTTTTTCACCGATATTATGAAAGGCATAAGCAGCTTGTACTAAACCACAACCAATCATTGATATTATCCCAGACCAACCAACACAATCAGCCATTATGTAAGAGAAATAAGCAAGTAAAAGCATTGTGAATACAGTTAAATGACTACGTATTCGTGTTACTAAACATGTTAACACACCGAATAGAACACCGATAAGTAAACCGCCAAAACTTACAGTGAAAAAGGATAAAATACCAATGAAAACTTGATGACCTGTAATTTCTTCTTTCCCGGTGAAAGCTACCATAATATCATATAAGACAATAGTGATTGCATCATTGAATAATGATTCACCAAAGACAATATAATACAGGCTTAATTCAACACCAATATCTTGAAAGATGGCTAACACAGCAACAGGATCTACAGCAACAATCAATGAACTGAACAGTAGGAAGCCTTTCACATCGAAATGTAATATTGGATAGCCTAATAGACCAGCAACGAATAATATATACATAGAGAAACCGATAATTAAAAAATTAAACACTGTACCCAATACAGAAAACAATAATACAACGCCCAGATATTCAGAGAATGTTCTGTTGTATAGATTATACGCTGACTCTAAGATAATCGGTGGTAGTAGATAATAGGAGAATAATTCTGGTGTAAATTTCCACACTGAAGGATCTAATGAGGCAGATTTTTCTTCAATTTCATAAATAACAATTCCACCAAATGTGATACCGATAATAATCAATAGTAGTGATTCTGGAACATACTCGGATATATAAGGGATATGATGATAGGCGATTTTGATTAGAATTAATATGAAGAGAAATAGCATTACAGTGATATGCATTGAAAATTCATGAAACTTCCATTTAGCAATAGCAATATCATCAGTGTGCGAGGTGTTTTGGTTGCTTTTTGCGTGAACTGAATGTTGTTCCACGACGAAAAAGAAATAGAAGACGAAGAAGAAGTATACAATAATTGAAATACACTGTAGTGAAGACATGTTTCTTCTGAGTGATATATATTTTTTCTTGCGTTTTAATGCAGAAATATTATGAAATTATAATGATCTATATGTATATATATTCCTCAATGAGGAGCACGTTGACGTCGATAATGTTGATGACGAAGATGAAGTTGAGTTTGTCATCTGATGGTCTCTGCTACACACATGCACACACACACACACAAACACGCAAACCCACCCAGACACACACACACACAATATTCATAAATACACGTGAAATTAAAAGACTCCATGCAGAAAAATATGCATTTATATATTTATACATGTACTCTGAGAATCAACCATTTACTCGTGTACGCCACATCACTCATAAACACACGCACACACTCACGCACGTGCACACACACATACACACGTAAAGACACATCCAAACTTTAATATCTCATTAGTTGATAATAACTGTTTCACTTTGATTGATAATACATCGTTCCTCCTAGTAATGATTCTCCCTCTCTCTCTCTCTCTCTGCAAGAGGATTAATTATTTTGGGAAAGAATGTATTCAACAGAAAAATGAGATTTTTTAAAAAAAGCCTACAAAATTGCCAGTTGATTTAAACAAAATTAAATCAAGTAAAATAATTCAAATCAATATTGTTGTTAATATATGTGTGTGAGTGTGTGTTCAATTCTTCTGTCTATGTGTTATACACTTTTTGTAATATATATGTATCAGAAGAATAACTCCGGATTACTCTGATTTAAAATTTTTGCATTTCTTTCATTCATTCTTTCATTAAAACAAACATAAAGAAAAAGAATTAATCCATTGGACATTGAATAGCCAATCTGAATTTTTATTATAATATCAATGCTTCAATAGAAATAACTAAAGCTTTGAATTAAATCAGATATGTTGATTCGATATTTATTAATAATAAGATAAATCAAGGTCAAATTTTTATCTATCGATAAATTAGTTTGTTTAGGTGTGTGTGTTGCATGTGTGTCTGTGTGTCTAAAACATACGCGCGCGCGCGCGAGCGCACGCACGCACACACATACATACACACAGATGAACCAATTGTCTATCCAGTATAATATATTAAATTTTGATCCCAATCAGGGCGTGTCACAGGCATATGTGAATATGAGCTTATTTTGGAAGAATAGGGGATAGAGGGGGGAAGCCTAGGAGGTGTGTGTGTGTGTGGGGGGGGGGAATTCAGTCGATTCAATTAAATGACATATTTTCTTTTTCGTAATGTGAATAACTTATGCAAATATTAGCAAAGGTTTATAATATTATTTTTACGAGTTGATCGCAGATTTATATGAAAATAGAGAACCGTTGAAAACCAGCCACAAGGAGTACTGGACATCTGTTTCGTCAGTCTAGTTTGAGAATCATCGGCAGTACACACCCACGCCACTAGGGCTCGAACCTGTGACCTTCTGGTTACAAAACAAGCTTGCAAGCCACTGGAATCCGTTATAAATGCCAGCGCATGAATTCTAACTTCTACCATTTTGTGATTTAACGCTACTGGCATCAACCATTGTTGTCGGTGGGACAGCCATCCTCACACTTAACTGGATGGACCTCACTGGTCACGAATTCTCACTAGAACTCCAGGAAACTCCATCCTGTAGAAAGTCACTAGCGAGCATCAGATTAATTTTCTATAGTTTGGTTTGTAAAGATAGATTTTCCTTTTACGAGTTCATCACGGATTAATATCAGTAAGAGAACCGTTGAAAACCACCCAAGGAATACTGGACAGCTGTTTCGTCAGTCTAGTTTGGTAATTATCGGCAGTACGCAACCACTGGTTGGGGTCGCGCTAAATCACGAATTGGTAGAAGTTAGAATTCATGAGTTGGTTGGCCATTGAATGGGATCTCAATGGTTGGAAGTTATGCGACCTAGCTTACCTTGTAATCGGAAGGTTCTGGGTTTGAACCCCAGTGGGGTGGGTGCATACTGCCGCTGATTCTCAAACTAGGCTAATGAAACAGCTGTCCAGTACTCCCTGGCTGGTGATAGATAAATATATCATTTTCAAGAGTTTTATTTGTAGGGATCAGATTTATTTCAGGTTTTTGATTACAGATTTATATTATTTAGAGTACCAGTGAAAAACAGCAATGGAGTACTGGACAGGTATTTCTTTTATCCTACTTTTGGGACTCCTCGTCAGTATACACACACACACACAATCCGTTGTCAAACTATAGGCAAATCAGATGCCTATAAACTAACTCTAGAAAGTTAGTCTGAAACTTGTTAGTAGCTGTTTTGCAGGAGGAAATCCCCTGAATTTCTTAGGAGAAGTAGTGTCTAGTAGGGGGGATTAAAGGCTTATCGACGAAATTAACTGTCAGTCCTACGAATTAATAGAGGTTTGGAATTTATCGGCCGCTGCATCGAATTTTCAGTTTCTGAACAGTCTACGATCTTGTCTTTTAGCAAGAAGATTTTGTGCTTGAATCCTGCAGGTTGCCTACTTTTAAAGGGTCCGAAACTAGGACGAAACAGTTGCCCAGTACTCCCTCTTTGGTTTTCAATGGTTTCCTAATTGATATGAGTCCATGATCACAGTTGAAACAAATCTGATGCCTACACGTCTAACCACCACGATACTTGTCTACACAGAAACACATGAAGGAAGTGGTACATATGCACAAAGAAGTGGATGGATTCGAGATATTATCCAAAAGACTGATGCATGACTGTAGAACAAAATTTTAAGGGTCTCTGCAAAAAATATCCTATTAGGGATTAATATTATTATTATTATTATTCCCTTGGGTTCCGAGTGGGACATATGGCTTCAACAACGCATCTTCAGTTATTCTATTGTCTGCCATTGTCTTCAGCTGGGACCACGATTGCCATAATTACTCTCAGCTTCCTCTACATACAATATCCCCTATGTCATTGTAGGACGAATTAATCATCACTTCCCATTTGGATTCCATTCAAGGCCAGGTGCGCGATGTCATTCGATGGTCTTCTCCTATAAATTTGTTAGGCAATCGGCTTTTGCCTGTTTGTTTGTTCCCAGACAGAGTTTCTTTTTTTGCGAATTCTTTGTGACTTGCCATTCGATCTTCAGTATGGAGCAAGCGAAGCATCTGTTGATAAATGTCTGCGGTTAACTGTTGCAAATACTTTTCGTGACGTATGCGCCACATATAGAAGAACTGACTGACTGGCTGATCTGCCATTGTTGTTGAAAATCAGAGTCTTGTCCTGTGTGCTGGCTCATTGTAGCAGATTTCCAAGCTGGTCTCAGCTTGATGGATACGTTTCTCGCCTTTCCGATTCTCACTGGCCAGCTTCGATATCTCTCTCCGTTCTGACTCTCTGTGGTTGAAACTGTGTTTCCTAGCCAGATGAGTGAAGCTAGGAAGTGACTTTTGTCAAATGTCTCCCGTTGATGGTGGCTGGTGCTGTTTGTTGGTTACTGTTGCTGTTGGTTCGTTGGTTGGCTGGTTGGTTATCTTCATCACCTCCATCTTCTCCATGCTCATCTGCAGTCCTGTCTACGCTGGCAGACAGCCTTTTCTGCCAGTTTGTTGGTTTTCTCCTGCCTGCAAATCTTCAACTTTATTTGACATCGAACGTAAATCATCCACATGGGATATCCAGATCTTGAAGAGTCTTCTTATCGGTGGTTCAGCTTATTCTTGTTTCCTCTCTCTCTCCAAAGTCTGACGCATAATTCAGTCCACCACAATTAAGAATATCATCGGTGATACCCTTTAAGGATATAACAGGCAAATTCTCCATTGAAAGCAGGATTACTAGCAAGAGTTTACCAGTAATATATTGGGTACAATATCTTTTGTAAGAACCTTGAATAGTGAAGTAAAAGATTAAGTTATAGAGAGGAGACATGAAGATCATATAAAAAATGTGAAATTAAAACCTACTGATTGATGCCCTACTGGATGGAAGTCCTAGAGCTTCACTGAAACGTAGTGGTCAACAGGTTGCCCATATCAAGGTAAAATGGATAGTGATCAAAGGCGCTGGTGAACACAGCTTTATATCATGAGCTGACACAGTTACAACTCATGGATCAAATATCAGTCTTTTTAATGATTTTTCCTGATTAGATGGAGGATTTCTTCATGAACTGTTTTGTCCTAGTTTAGGACTCTTCACAGTACGCACCTACAGCCAGATTTCGAACCCATGACCTTCTGGTTACAAGGTGAGTGAGATCGTAGACCGCTGGGCAGCCACTGGGACTCGATTCAATGGTCGTGCTATGTTTTGAATTGGCAGAAGCTAGAATTCATGGGTTGGCCATTGGATCAGATCCCAGTCTCACTCGCCTTGTAACCAGAAGGTCCTGGGTTCGAACCCTGGCGGTGGGCACGTACTGATGAAGAGTCCTAAACTAAGACGAAACAAATGTTCAGTACTCCCAGGTGGTTTCTCAGTGGTTCGCTAACTGATGTCAGGTCATGATGAAATCATACATCCAATTCAGAGGTCCTTGAATTCCAGCCTAATTAATTGGCTGGTTGATTAGCGATCTTGGTCTCGTAACCTGGAGGTACCCAGTGAAAATCCTGATGAGTGGCGTGGTGGGTGGAAAATATGATGAAAAAGTTGCCCACTGTTCTCCGGGGTTTCCAGTCATCTCTTCAGCTGATGTTGGTACATGACGAAATCTAACAGCCAACATCAACCGAAATCCTCATAAATCCCGTAAAATTAGTAATGTCATTAGTGCCCATATAGCGCATGCTTCCAGCAAGGATAAGTAGGTAATATTATTGTTTATGATGTCTTCTGTAAGACTTTTGAATTGTGGAATGGCAGATAAATTTGTACAGCGGGGAAGGTAATGCCATCACATCTACTGCCTAATACCCCTGTTGTCACACTATTATTATTATTATATGAAGCTCCTGATGTGAAAAGAATTGAGCCTACGTGCCACATGCTTGAATGCACGTGACTATACTTTTTGTATATCACTACCTTGCAAGCAGGTAGACGCGTGGTGAGCGCCAAACATGTCTGTGGCATCTAAGCTACATATAAAATAATAATACGACGATACACAATTAATATTTCAAATATGTAAACACAATCACATCATCATTAAATGTCGAAGTTGTATGCACAGTAACTTAGAAAGTTCCTCAATGACCTTAATATCATAATCCTGCGCTATAAATAAACTAGGCATGAAACACCACTCAGTAATTACCGTCTTCTCTCATGGAATCTCTAGACCAAATATTTGGCAACAAAGTTAGTTGAAAACAAGCAACAAAGCAGGTTAATAAAGCAGGATTTAATGATGGAACCATCAAATTTCAGTAGAATTCGTCAGCTGAATACTCTACATACACGGATATACATAAATACTTTTGAAATTATATTGGGAGATATAAGATTGATAAGTCATTCAGAAAGACAGGTGAGAATGTTTTCCAGGTCATGTTCAAATAGATAAGGGGAGAGAGAGAGTATGAGAGGTCAAAATTAAGATAAATTGCATTACGCTTCAATTACATCACTTGGATAAACAGTTAGTCATTAGAGAATATAACGAGAATTGCAAACAAAGTAATATCAATAGTAATAGTTATAATAACAATTATAATAATGTTGAAGTGAGTTAAGATAATCCTACTGATAAAGGATAGTTTTAAATGAATCAAGAATAATAATAATAATAATAACAATAATAAGAGGTAGAATGATGAGTAAAACGTATTACCATGGTAGATTCATAGTAACGACCATCTCGAATTGCACAAGCCTCTACAATTGCAAGCATCTTCTTGTTTCTTTGTCTGCAGACAATAGTGAATGAATTGACCGCGTCGATATCATGTCCGTAGTCCATAAGATGC